CTCCCACTTACACGGTCCTGGTTCTCAATAGTCACAGGAGCCAATGACCTCTATATAAGCTCTGAGAAGAATTTACACCACACAAATAGTAGAGAAACATCCTTCTAGAGATTAAATTAGTGATTTTCTTTTTTTTTCATTAAATTATCAGCTTTCTCAGAAACAAAAATAAAAAAGTAAATTTGTCTTGTTCTGGGAAGTTTCAGAGAAGTGGTATTCTTTCACTATACAAGAACAAGGTAACAAGATACCATTTCTACTATTCCGAGAATAAAGAATATCTTTAAAAGAACTTTATAAGTAATTCTTTGAACAACTGAGATTACCCAGTGATTTAATAACCTGGAGAATGTGTGTAAAAGGGCAGAGCAGGTCAGGGTGAAGTACAAGGAATGCCAGCATTTACGTTTCGGGTATAGGAGTCACTCTTATGGCCCTAAGCAGGAGAACCCCTCAATTTGGACTACAGCGTCCCCCGACAAGAATAACACTCAGGCTTTTCTTCCACATCAGTTTTCTCTGTTGGAAATGTGCCTCCCTCACAGTTCAACACTATCTTCTGTGTCTGACTTTTTTCCTTGTTGTTTATAATACACATCTGATATTCTAGAAGAGGTATACATGCGTTGCTAACTTTACTTCAACTTAATGTTCATGATATTACCTACAAGAATTTTGACTAAATAGTGATATAATAAGACATGAATATTTTAATGACGTTTAAATAGAACAAATAAACAGGACTTTTGGAATACATACCTCTTTCTCCTATATTAAAAGAAACATTATAAAAGCTAACATGTAATTTTGCATTTAAAGTATCAAATGTGTGAACATCTCTAAATCTTGTTAGACAGAAAGCAAATAACTATTTTATTGACATCAGTAAAAACAATAGCTCAAACCTTAAGTCCTCTCCACATCTGTATAGCAGAGAATAGTTTTTTTTTAATGCTAATAATGTTAATAAAATGTTCAACATATTTGATTATATTACTTAGCATTCTAAGCCATTATTGAGATATTATATACAAACATTAGTTAACTAAACCCTCAGAATAATCCTAAGAGGTAACTATTACTTGTCTAGAAATAAGTTTCATCTCACATTTCTTTGTGAATCGAATTGTTCTTTTTTAACCTAATTTTATGATTATTTTTGTAGCATTATAAACACCTTTGTATGTAGTACATGTGTATATTTTAAAGGTGCTTTATCATACATAAATGTAGTCATAAATCACAGCTGGATTTGCTGTTACATATATAAAACAAGTATAAAATAAATGAAATTTTAGTTTTTTTCCTTGAAAAATCCCAAACACTAATACTGCCATATACATAGATTTGTCAGTAAAGTTGCAAATAAACTTTTCATTAGATAATATGTTAAATGCTTTGGAAGATCATTGTTATCATACATAAACAGCTTAACAGAACTAAGCAAATATATTTTCTGTAAAACTTGATCTAAGAGCCAGGAAAATAGGTGAATATTTGATCTGATTGGATTGAAGAAGGCCCAAACCATCACATATTCTCAATATTTTAACTATGGCCTAAAAATGTGACATCATGTCAATCTTGGTGGCATATCTTTTGAAAGCTTCTGTTATCTGTGAACTTCCTAAAGAACATTGCTTGGTATTATTTCATATCTCGACATTTATACTTGTCAGATTTGGAAGTTGTTTATAAGCAAAGGACTGATCCTTAAGATCATTGGTCACATAATTTGTTCATTTTACAAACATTAATTGAATACCTGGTATATTCTGCACACATTCCTTAATGAGTTCATAACCTTATGAGTAAAAACTTGCAGTATGAGGGAACAAAACTATAAAATCAGTAAAGAAAAGTCACATTTTATGTGGGGTTAGAATATAAAGCGAATCCTTAAGACAAAAAAAATTTGTGTTGTCAAAATTATCCTTGAAACTCCCTAAAGATGGTGTCAGGTTGGAGACTTACATACTATTTTTCAATGAATTTAAACCAGCCTGCTTTTCTTCAAGCATTTAGAAAACATTGTTGGTTTTCAGTTGGGTATCAAATGAAGTTGTTCACTTGCATCAGTTACTGGGTTTTATGATATACATTTACGTTATAGAAGTTACGTTACATTCAGCAATGCAGGATACCCACCCTGTGAGGGACACATAGGAGCTGAAATCTACCAAGTAGAGCAGATTCAAATCTTCCATGTCATTGTCGCTGAGGTGCTTATACCCAAGTAATCTGGATTAAAAGGTGGTTGGTTGAGCTGCGCTATTTAAATTTTCTCTCCCTTTGTCTCTTTCTGTCTATCTCTGACTGTCTCTCTCTCGGTATCTCTCTGTATCTCTCTGTGTCCCTCTTTCTGTCTCTCTTTGTCTCTCTCTGTCTCTGTCTCTCTGTCTCTATCTCTGTCTCTATCTGTCTCTGTCTCTCAATTGCAAGCATATAACTGAAGTTGGGCAGTTTAGTGAAACAGAATAATGCAACCCCCAGTGAAAACCCATAGAATATCTAGGAAGATTCCAAAGCAGAGATGATAGTGATAGTTGATCTGCATTTTGAAAACTAAGTAGGAATTTAGTAGATTGGTAACATGGAAATTCCAGGGAGCAAACATCATGAGCAAAATCATGAAAGAGTGGGAGTTTCTTGTGCATTAATGAAACTAGTGTCTCTCTTTCTTTGTAGTTCTCTATGGCAAGAGGGTGAAGCTAGAAAGACACAAAGAAGCTATTTCCTGAGGAAGTTTCTTTTTTGGAGAAAGCAGAGAGATCATTTTAGCAGTGATATGAAGTATGATTTGGTGGGAAGACAAGAACAAAAGTAGAGACTATGGGACAACAGGACATTAGGCAGTGACAGTTGAGAGAACCAAGCTCCAGAGAAACTTATTCCAGGAAACTTTCTAGTTCCAGAATAAAGGCCAGACCTCCACTTGGTCTTCTTAAAAGTTCACTGAACTCTGCTTCTTTCATTCTTTTTCCTTTATGTCAGCACCAGTTCTACCTAATAAAATTTCAGGTTTATTTATTTTTCAAACTATATATTATTTATTATTATGATAACTTTTATAATTACTTTTTATTTAAAAAATGTTTTTGTCAATGATATATCAACTCTCACTCCAAAAACCATTATCATGACTCTATTTTCACAAGCATACTGTTATAAACAAAAAGTGCAATTTCAGTTTAGGCACATTAGCACCAAAAACCCCAAGTTTTAAATGATATGTAAGTTTTCATTTTTGCCATTTTACCAACTCTGTGTATTATTATGCCAATCTGGTAGGAAAAAGATTCCTTTTTAGTCTAACTTTCATTCTTTTATTATGATAATGTTTATTATTTTTCCGTGTGGAACACCTTTGGTTGTCTGCTTTCACAACAACATATTCATGCTTTTAGCCATTTTTATTGGAGTGTTTACCTTTTTGTTTGTTTGTTTTACTGAGTTTTAATAATGCTTTATGCGAAATAAATCACTATCTTTATTTCAATTATTTTGTTAAACTTATCGTTTGCCTTTAAATTTTCTTTATGTTGTTTTAAGACATATGGGGTTGTAGTTTTTATGTAGATATTTTTTCCTTTTTATTTATGTGTGTGTGTGTGTCAGTATGTATTATACCTTTTCCCAGAAGAAGATCATATAACTCTTGAAAAACAGTTATTGTTTCTTTTATTTTTCCATATTTTACATTAAATGCTTTAATCTCTTTGGAATTGATTTTAGCCTATGGAGTGAGGTAGAAATGCAACTTTTCTTTTCACTGGTTGCGATAGATAAAGAGACACATTGTTAGTGTCCCCCTTCAAGAGTAGACTTGCTGCTCAGCCGTGCGGGGCATGTTTAACTGCCAGCCTCTAGCTGTTAGCTTCTTCAGTGTCCACCTCAGCTTTCAAGCAAAGGTCACTCTCTTCTTGGGCTGGCCCCTGGCCATTGACCAAGCAAGGCAGCTGTAGAGTTGGCTTTTTCCACTGAATGAGGGACTCCTCTATTGAGCATTCTATGCTCCATCACTCTCCTTTGGACTGTCAGAGACTTCAGTCAGGTGTGCTCCTTAGTCTGAGAGCTCCCCCCGCCCAATCCTGCTGTCTCTCTTTTTCCTTTCCAAGTGTTACTCCTCAGTAAACTTTTGCACTTATAAACCATTTTAGTGTTTGCTTCCCAGAGGATCCAACCAATACCCTGGCTTATCAACAAACTATTTCTACATCCCTAAGTAAAAGTACCTCCTAACAAGTCAGGAGTCAGGTCCCCTCCTGGATTTTTTATTCCATGGCACTGATCTGTTGATATTTTCTTTTGCCAGTTACACAGTTTAAATTACTAATTAACTAATTACCTAATTAATGTAAGCTATAAGCACAGATGCTCTTCAACTTTATGTCCCGATAAGCCCACCATAAGTTGAAAATATAATAAGCCAAAAATGCATTTCATACACCTAACCTACCGAACATCATAGTTTAGCCTAGCCTACTTTAAATGTGCTCACAACACTAACATTAGCCTATGGTTGGACAAAATCATCTCGCTGCCACTGCCCAACATCACGAGAGAGTATCATATTGAATATTGTGATATGATAAAAATTCAAAAGTTTCTAATGTATGTATAGCACTTTCCCACCATCATAAAGTCAAATAATTGTAAGTCAAATCATTGTTTAGACATCATTTGTGTGTATATATATACACACATATATAGTATATATACATATACACAGTAGATATGTATATGTGTAGAGAGAGAGAGAGCAACTCAGTCCTCGGCAAGTTCTTTATGAATATTTCACCTCAGTAAAATCCACATATCCTGCATATTTATTATTGACTTTATTCCAATGTCTTTTGTAATGATTATGGCTATGAAATTTTTTTAATGATTTGTTACTAGCATAAGAAAACCTATTGATTATGAATATTGACTTTTTAAATTATCCACATTGCTGAACTTTCCAAAGAATTCTAATAGTTTTTGCTTGATTTTCTTAGGTTTTTTCATACAACAAAAGTATTATCTGCAAATATTATAAGTTAAGGAAATTAATGAGGAGAAGGTGCCATCCTTTCTGCAACCTCTCAGGAACAGGGTGACTGCAGGCGACAGCAAAGCAATGCCCATGCAGAGGTGAGTGGTCATGGTGAATGGACTCTAGACAATGCGGGTCAGTGCACCTATATCCATATTGAGCAGAGTATGGTAATGGGGGGAATTGGGTCAGGAAGGACAGCATAGGTGGCTTTAAAGCAGTGGAAAGCTGACATTAAGCACACTTTGGGAGATACAAGTGAGAGACATCTGAGGCAGAAAGAAGGCAGAAGCATGGACAAAAATGATGTTGTTGTTGTTTTATTATTATTATTAAGAATAAACTCTTTTTGAAGATATATATATTTCTTTGCCACCTTCCTCACTAGAAGGTAAGTTCCACAAGTGTGTTCTGTTTAGTGATAAATCACCACCATAGAATGGTACTACAGTCCATTGTATTTTTGGAATAAACCAATGTAGGGGCACGTGATTAACCTGAGCCAGGGGATGTTGGAGTTGCTCTATTATCCTAAGAGGCCATTTTGTTTAGTAAGAAAGCTATTTAATATTATCAAATATCATTTTGCACAAGATCTGTTCTTTTTTCTCTTTTGGCCTCTTTTTTTGATAAATTGTGTTATATTCTCAAATATTACATCAACCATGCATTTCAAGAAGAAACCGTGCTTGGTCACACTATATTAATTTTTAAAATACTATTTTGAGTATATAATTTAGCAGTATTGCATTTTATTTAGGACTGTCTCATCTGTATTCATAAGTATATTGGTTGCTAATTTAAATATTATTCTGTCTTTATCAATATCAGGGTTATTATAGCTTCGGAAATGTATTGTAAAACACAATCTTATTTAGTGCTTTTAAAATAGGTTTTTAAAAAATCGCACTTTTATCAAAGTAATAAAGTGTACATACACAAATGTCATTTGTAAGGAAGGGCTTTTACTAAAATTCACCTTTCTCTTTTTCCATTCCTCTTCTCTTTGAGTCTTGTTTCCTGGAGGCAAACCCTTTTGTCCATTTCTGTTTCAGAGTTTCTCAAAATTTCTTCCATATTCCTGAATAATACTCCTTTATTTATTGACTGAGATATTATCTATTGACTTGTTGAGGACTTTGCCTGGTGTATGATCTTCCATCTTCCTGTACCTTCTCTTTCCAGTATGTTGTGGCATTTGTCTTGTTCTGGAGAACATGCATCTTTAAACCATGGACTTCTTGTCTCTTGTCCTGTTAGCCATAGACAGCATCTCAGGGCCTCTAACCTTATACCAAGGATATTGGCACGCATCCTGCATTTCCTCGTCTCTTCTCTCTACATCCTAGTCTCTGTATTTTCATTAATTTTATTTTTATTTTTGTTCAAGTTATACATGCACAAAGTTTAGAGTCAATTAGTTTAAAATGCTTTTTATGAAAACTAACAGTTTACTGTTTTCTCCTTAATTTCCCCTTTTGGAAGCCATTGCTTTTGATTCTCTCTTGGCTCTCTTGGCTGATTCTTCAGTTTCCATCAAAAACCTCTAAATAACTTCACTCTTTGCTGTTTTATAATTTTTTCAGTTTTACTTTACACAAAGGATAAAAAAGATTGAGGTCCTATTCATCCCCTTGCTCTTACTCCATAAAATATGCCCCCCGATCTTCTCAATATTGTGAGATGAATGCTCATTTAACTCTATTTTTCTATGTAAACACTTACCACATCAGAACCATATAGAAAATTAAGATTACTTACTCTTTCTCAAACACTATTTTTCTGTGGTTATTAATGATGCCAAGTTTCTTTGTTTACTTAATTTTCTATGTACTTACTAATTAAAACCCAAATTACCCATGTTTTCTAAATTCTCTTTCAATAGATTCAGATGTACAAAGCATTCCATGGGTTTCAACTTCTTGAAGGAAATCTTTTCCTGAAATTTCCGACCTCCTCCCTCTCTATTCTCTGTATATCTTATTTCCTTTGCCTCTCTCCTGTAATGTAGCTCCAGTTTCTTGTATCCCACGCCTTTATTTTTTTTTTAGTTTACTTTTAATTTTGGGGGACCACATATTCTGGTTCCTTCCTGAGAAACTTGCATGGAAAACAATTTTTTTAAAAAATTAACTTTTTATTTGTAACAGCAACAACAACAACAACAACAACAACAAAATCCAAAGTTACAGAATAGTTACAAGAACAGCATTTGTAGAAAGAACATTTATATACCTTCTACCCAGATTCACCTATTGTTACCATTACTTCTTTTGCTTTCGTTATTTATTCTGTGCGTGTGAAGGCCCATGACAGCAGGGTCCTGGGGACCACTGCATGCCCAATACCTAGACTGGTGTCTGACACATAGTAGGAGCTCAGTAAGTTGTTCTATGAATAAATGAATATCTACTATAGCTGTATTATATTGTATTATGATTATTTGCTTATCTTTTTTTATCCTGTTTGATAAACGTTTATTTTTTTTTCCTGTTCTCCAAACTGCTGTTCTGGCCTCTTTAGTAATTTTTCAGTTTGTGTCTCTTGGTCTTTCTCTTTCATGTTGTTGACTTTCCTCAAATATCTGATGATTGTGGATTATCCATTCATATTTTAGGAATAAAGCGACAGAGAGGCTGACTGAGGCCTAATGTATCTGGATAAGTTGTCAGCTTGGGCAGGAAGGGCTTGTTTCACTAACTTGGATGATCGCCAAGTGCTAGAACAAAGAGGGCTTTAGGGCAAAAATATCTGTCCTACCTGCCCTATTTCTCCCCAGAGAGTTGTGCTAGCATATTCTCTTCCTCCTTCCTTTCCATTCTCCCTCCCTCTCTCTCCGCCTCTCTCTCTTTTTTTCTTTTTCTCCTCTCATTCTTTCTTTCAGAAACTTTAGTTATAGTAATTCTTGATTCCCAACTCTTCTGTGTGTACAGGTGATGGGAATGGAGGAAAGCTGTAGGGGAATCAATTTGTACATATGTTTTATATTTCAATTAATCTGGCTATAAATAACTCACTTGTGCCTACCGCCCTTTGCCCTGCCAACCGTGACTTGTACTCTCTCTGTTCTTCTAGGCAGGTCAGCCTCTTCCCTTGAACCAGCTGCCTCAGGCCAGTTTTACTGAGCTTTGTCTCACTAGTTAATACATAATCACCTTTATTCTTCTAGAAATGTGTTGAAATTTCTCATCTGCTTTTAGCTTTCTTACATTTAATGTGTAGTTTTAGGTATATGCCTTCTTCATTCCTTTATTACCATTTAATGTAGAACCTGGATAAAGAATATATATATTATTTACATGTAATATATAAACACATATTACATATAAATATGTAAATATATTATATATATATATACAGTCCCATGTTGGCTTAGAAATGCAACAATCATAGCCTGAAAATGATTTATTCTTTAAAATTTGAAGGAAGTTTAGACTATGTAAAAGTTGATTCTTCACCCATCCTTAAAACCCATCCAGGACTGTGATAATATTTTGAAGAATTTACTGACAATATTTAAAATTTCTTGATCTTCTCATTTTTTACCTTTTCTTGAGCCAAATTTGGTGATTTATATTTTATTAGAGAGTTCATCAATCTTTGATATTTTTAAGATGAGAGCTAAACATAATATCTTTTTAAACTTTATGAATATCTTTATATCTGCAATCATATCATCTTTCACATTCTTAATAATGGGTTATCTATGGTTTCTATTTCTGTATTTATTTTTGCTAATTAAGAATTTTTATTTATCAATTACACCACTTTTGCATTTTTAAAATTTAACTTCCTGTATCTCAGTTTCTCATCTGTGTAGTATCTATTTCATTGAATGGTAGGGAAGATTAAGTGAAATCCTACATACAAAGAAACTGGAAGAGTAAATTCAAATATTAGCTGCTATTTATTTCTCTTGCTTATCCTGTCCTGTGTTTATTTTCTTGTTCTAGTCCTAATTTATTGAGTTGGATATTTAGCTAATTTATTTTTATTCCTTCTTGTTTAACCAGGAAAATAGTGAAAGTTAGTATTTCTTTTCTGAGATTAATTTTGGCTGCATCTCAACATTTTTATGTGAAACATTTCTCATTATTGTTATTTTCTAAATATTCTCTGATTATAGGTTTTAGCTCTTTCTGTTTTAGGAAATGACTTCATTTAATCATAAAATCCATTGACCAAACCACAAAGAGCATCTTTCCTTAGGCATAGCTAGGCTTGCCTGAGAATTTCCTCACTCAACTGATTCTGATTTATAACAGTGATAGGAATTCCTCTCAGGGCTTTCTGACCTTTGCTTCTTAAAAATAAGAAACTTAATTGGGCTTCTCCTCTCCTGTCTGCTGTTTGCTTGTGAGGCTGTATTACCTTCTTAAGACAGTGAGTTGCGAGTTGCTTCTAAATATCTTCGTTCTACCTGGTTTTACTTGCACTGTCTAAAGCAGATATTTCTTGAATTTTGTGGCCTATTGGTGGCACCTGTCCTATAGATGTCTCAGATTTCTACCAGTGGTGTTCATTATAATTTTCAGTGCCATTGGAGTGTTTTAAGTTATAATTATTACTATGTTTTTACCATTTTGATTATTTCTGTTTGTTATAGCCAAAGAGAATTGAATTTTGTGCTCATCTGTCATATTTTTCAAGAGTCTAAATAGAGATTTAAAAAACCAATTAACTCATCTTTGTTTATTTTGTATGCATTTCAAGCCTATTTGGCAAGTTTTAACCACAAGTCAGTATTATTTGTTTTTACATAATTCTTATGAAAATGTGAGATATTTTGCTATGTGAATTCTACAAAAAGGAAAGTTTAGTTTGATAAAGAATATATCGAATTGCATTTACACATTTTTAAAATATATATTTAGTCTGTATTCCCTCTTTTATACTTTTAAGTATGCTATAAAGAATTCATAATTTCTTTAAAACAACGTTTTGGATTATTTTTAAAGTTTGCTTAAAAATTAACTAAATTTTAAATTTTATTTTGCCAAGTGAATTATATGCTAACTTTCTATAGTTTTAGATTGTGTTCACACTGGGCAGAATCAATAGCTAGAAAAAATATACTGTCCTATAGATGTCTCAGATTTCTACCAGTGGTGTTCATTATAAATCAGCTATACTCTGGTTTTTGTGTTTGTAGAAACTATTTGCAGAGGCAAGTTAGAAACTATCTAGTAATCAAACCCCTGCAATTAACTTACAACCCAAACAAAACCTTGTGCATGAAAAAGCTTTAAAGAAAAAAAAAAAAAAAACCCTACAAATAATTTTGGATCTTGTCCTTAAGTACCTGGAAACTAGAAGTCTGAAGATTTATCCCTTTCTGCAAAAGGCTTGCAAGATCTCTTTGCAGAATTCCTTGGTTTCTCTGTGTATGTATTTTTCTTAATGTGGCCTTAATGATAAGCAACACCTTCTGTATGAGTTTTCACATTTCCATTGTAAAAGTTCTTCTTGTATGTTTATCCCTTCTCTCTGATTACCTATTGCTTCATCATCTTACCTCTTTGAAAAAACAGACTGTGTATGTTTGTGTGACTATCCCAAATCATATTGTTCAATTAAAAAAAAAAAGATCTGACTCCCCTAACACTAGGAAAAGACCAATCAAAACCACTTAGAATAGTTTAAACTCAGAGGTGCATAACCATGAGGCTTGCTTGAATAAAGCACACATATACTCCTATGTTGTTTTTAGTAATTACTGTATCAGAATCTCTGGGATGCGGTTCAGAGACCTGTAATTTTCAAAGGCCTAGATGACTTTGTAACAGGTAATCTATAGATCTTAAGTATGAATAACTGACTGGAAAGGGAGAGGGAGAGAGAGCTAGTCCATTGAAACAGAAACAAAATGGTTTTGTTACTATAACTGCATAGTGAGTGAATTTGGAAGCCAATTTCAAAAGAGAACCAAATTGATTTATTTAATTTCTCTCTGCCCAAGAAAATTAGTATTAATATCTATCTAAATTTTAAAAAAAAATTGTTTGACTAAATTCTAGAAAGAATTTATCATGGGGATTCTTATAAAAAGGACAATAAATAGAGAGTTAAGTGTTCAAGGTTTTAATTTCACCTCTATAAAAGCTGAAGGTGTAACAATAATTTTAAACTTTAGAAGGCGAGTCTGTAAAGAACTAAAATAATCTAGGAACATTGTTTTCTCATCTTATAACTTAGAGAGGTAAGCTGGAGAAATGAATATTTAACTATCTTTTAAAACATCTCTTTCAAACACTAATGTTTCAACTGGGTTTTAGGCAAAGACAAAATAACAGACTATGTATGAACTCTCTTCCCAGGGCCAAGCATACAAAATTCTTGTTGCAAACAAAAGAATGTGTCCAGATCTTACACCCCAGACTATGTATGAACTCTCTTCCCAGGGCCAAGCATACCAAAATTCTTGTTGCGAACAAAAGAATGTGTCTAGATCTTACACCCCAGCAATATGGATGGCAAAGTTGACGTCATGAACGTTTGAAGATGAACTTTGGGTCTACATAGGAGGAAAACCTGCAGATAGAGCCCAGCCTTGACTTTCACCAGTATCCATTTTGTAACTCTATATATCCTGATTCTCATTTTCCTACATTGAATTATTTCTGGAAAGAAATGTGCCCCAGGGGTCTAATGTTCTGCCAGGATGGAGAGGTGGGGCCAAATGCAGCTTTTCTCCTTGACTTCAATCTGTCAAGGTGTTCAGTTCTCAGAGTTGCTCCACGACTAAGAGAACTGGAAGGTCTCGGTGTTCCTTATTAGGAATTTCTCAGATCCTTGAGAGCCTGAGGCACACACCCAACTCATTTTGAAATAAAGCTAAACTTGAATTTTGATCATCAACTTCATTTTTTTTATTGTTTATTTTCTATGTGGCCTTCTATCTCCAGCTTCATATAATCAGAAAGCAATAGAACTTTCATACTAAGAAGAAAATAAAATATGATCTTGAATTTGATAAAGAAAATAAGCAGTTTGCCTGGATCCTTCTATAATTTGTTCAATGAATTAATTCTCTCCATAACAGGTAGGGCCAATGCTGGTGATGACAGATTGTCTAGCTGCAAATAAACATCAAAATGCAAAGGAAGATATTGATTGTATTTATTGTGCTGATCATTTATGACATATGCGAATGTCAAATCAATACATTGTACATCTGAAACTAATATAATGTTACATCAATTCTACCTCAATAAAAAAATGTAATGCAAAGGGAGAATGGTATTACACCTAAAGAGTTAAAGTACCAACAGGCTATCTTTTCTTTATGTTATAAATTTAAAATTATGTATATTTTTAAGGCCTCAGAAAATGTTCAGTTAATATGTAGAAAGTTTATATGTTAGGCTCAAGGCTTTTTGTGTCACCCACTAACTGGGAGGGGGGAACAATTTGCTGTTATAAGGAAGAAGCCATTGTCAATTAAAATTGCTTCTCAAAATTGAAAAAAGGTTTAGTTTGCTTTATTTTCAAGTTATAGTTACCATTAAAACAGAGAATGTATAAGGAAACATTTTCTTATATTTTCCTAATACATAGACCATCCTTTTGGAACTTAGTAAGTTTAAAGTCTTCATGCAACTTTGATTTTCCCTATTTTTCTTTATTGACTCCTCAAATACTTGTTAAAGTACAGATTCCTACACACGGTCCCTAGGAGATTATCTTTCTTACATTTAAAAACCATGTACCTGTTTTTAAAGTCACCCAGGAGAAATATGTTTCATTTACTCTTTCTTTGAAGTTTCTTAAAACTGGATGAAAGTCCCAGAGAGGTAATTTTAGAAACGCTGTAGATAACACCCTTGTGTCTGGCCATGCATATCCTATAAAAGGATAAATGAGTCATGCAAATACATTCTATTAGTGACCTTGTTATAAATTCCAGTTTTACCACATTCACAAGAAAGTCCTAATTTTAAAATACCTTAAGATGGATGCTACCCTCAAAAATGCACCCAGAAGTCACACACGAGACTAATAATCTGATACATACAGGGTTTATTTGGTTCAATCAAGGGTTTTCTAGGTCTGTTTTCAAAGTGTATCAAGTGTAAAGAAAAAAAAAAAGGAAATTCCTTCAGCAGCCAAAACCCTTTTTCAGCAGTGCTCACTTTCTCAACAAAGTTATCTGCCAAGTTCAAGTTGCTGGATTTTGACTATCAGCAACATTGACACTCATTGCCTACTTCAAAAGCTATGTCCAGGTACTTTTTTTCCCCCTCGCCTTTAGAAGAAGGTGCTATTACTAAATCCTAAAAACTCCTTCACAAGAGGTTAAATCTGATTTTTATATCAGTTGGAGTTCAGATATAAATCTGTTGAATCAGCTGGTAGTATGACTTGGTTCTTAGCCTAGTTCTGAAACCTGCTGATTTGACACTATTCAAAACTGCTGTAGGGGTTTGTAGCCACTGCACTGAGGTACATAGGCTCTGACAAAACACAATCCCAAGCTCTTTGTCTTGTTTTTCTGTGAGAAGTGAGACAGAATACCTGGTTCCAGCCCAGACAAGTCTTGAATATGTAACCCGGGTCCAGATGCAGGTTCATCTATCCTATCAGCTTAATCTGAATGCTTCCACCTGCTCTGTTATTCCTGGCCCTTTTGGTAACATTTGAAATCAGCATAATTCATCAATGCATAGTATTATCCTTGTGTTCACAGTTTTGGCTCAAAATTGGTATGAAGCTGAGCAAGTAACAAGAGAAGCAGAGTCAATGCAAATATGAACACTGCAGGCTTTAATTTATTCCAGGCCGGTAACCCAGTTAGGCCACTATTTACAAATAAGTAGGAACATGCAGCAAAAGAAACCCTAATCATACTTTGAGATATTTTTGTTACATTGGTAGAAGTTTCTCTTCGCTCATTAACAGAGTCATTTATTTTTCTGATTTATTACCAATACTTCTGGTTTGGATAGCTACTGGTAGTTTTTGCTTTTCACCTATGCTAAGGTGACAAAAAGTCAGTGTAAATAGTTTCAATTCAAATAAGTTCTTAGCAAACTGACCCATTACTTGAGGGTTAGCGATCTCTCATGGCTGCAAAAATTGCTGCAAAAATTGAGGTCAGGCACAGACACCAGAGAGAGGTGGGAATGGCATTTCATTATTTCAGAAGATAGGAGTCCTAGCCCTTTTCATTTTCTTAAAGAAAATAGTAATTGAAGCACTGTTTACCATTAGTAACATTTGAAATAGTTGATGATATCTATGACATTATGCATTTTTTAGAAGCATTTTTTTTTAAACAGATGCCTTAAGTGTAGTTCTGCTTTGTGTAAGCATTTTCCAGAACTACTGATGTGTGTTCTGAGTGTGCATGTGCATGTGCATGTTAAGTCCAGTTACGTGACTCAGAAAAAAAGGCAAAATGGGTCTATTTTGATGGACATAAACTTCTAGCTTTTTAAGACACATGCATTAAAAACAAATAAAATATTTCAAAAAAAGTGATAAAACTAAAGAAAAAATAAAGATATGGGTAGGTAGATAGATAGATAGATAGATAGATAAATAAATAGATAAATAAATAAATAAATAAAATCAAGAGATATGCACACATGTAGGGGGAGAAAACAGAAATGGTGTTATGGTAAAACACAGACCTATCACCTGTATGTAGTGTAGTTAATTCTTCTGAACAGACCCATTTGTATACTGTAAAAAGATGTGGCCACAAGGTTAGTTCTTACAAGCTTCAGTGACACATCTCTTAGGAACCTGTTTATGAACACCAATATTAGCGGTCTCAAAGGATTTCCTGGATAGTATGCAACGTTCTATTATACCTTTTCTTAGAACATGAGCTACTTTCATAAGGTCATTTTTTCCTCTTGTTTTAACTAAGCTTGGAGACATTTTACTAATTAACTTGATTGAAATGTCAAATGAAAGTCCAAATTAATCTGAGATAAATGTCTGCCCTTATAAAATTTTCTAAGTTTATTTGCTTTCTCTTTTCTTCAGTATGAGAAAACTTAATACTGAATTCAAATTCTTTAACAAAAATTTTTTAAAAATCAAAAATATCTGAAGTTATGAAACTGCTTAATTTAAGAACTGTTTGCCACATGAAAAAGCAATCTGTATGAAGGACTGATTAAGCTACATGAGTCCAGTAACTACAGTAAATGCCCGTAATTTGGACTGATTTGAATAGTCTGGATTCAGAAAACTTTTATTTACTGAGTTCTTTGAAAACCATTCAGTCTTATTGCTTTCAAGTAACTATGCAGATAGGAAGCAAACATGCATATCTCTCTGCATGGGAGACATGGGGAAATTACTATATAGAACACATGTAGGATTTGTAACCAGACTCTTTACCGCTTATGTCATTGAAAAAGTTCACAAAGTGCTATTTTTAGGATATTCCTCAATATCTTCTTTATAGTTTTTGTTTACTCAGAAAACATGTTCCTGGTTTGGAGTGGGGAGTGGGGTATACAAGTAACACTGAGTACCTGACAAATTATTACAAAATCAAAATTAATGCTGAAGCCTAAGATTCTGTCTAGTAAAGGAACTCTTAGGAAAGGCTGCTTTCCAGAAGGTCTCTATTAATTCAAAGCGATACCAAGAAATGAAACAATAAATCGTTTAATACCAATTGCATTATAGTATGAAATGACTGCCAAAGAGTCAAATTGTCATTTTGATGTAAGATAATATGTAGAAAGAATAGTGACTATGAATTATCTAACTACAATTACCTGCAGTAGAAATAAATATTAATTCTAAAGCAATATTTAAACATGTTTCATTAACTCTTTTAGCAAGTCATTCCTGTATCTAGAGCTGTGCTATTTAAGTAATGATTATGTCCTTTAGCTGTAACATATTATTTATTTACTTATTCTCTCATTTAACAAATACTTTTCAAGCCCTGCCTATGTGTCCAGGCACTGAAAATAAACTTAAACAAATAATTAACTGCCACCGAACCACATTCCTGC